TGGCAAAAGGCATTACAAGGACCAAGAATCTTACCCGATAAGTGAAAGAGAAGACTCTTACCTGGTAAGTGTTTACTGAGTGAAAGATGTTTAACAACAATTTATTTTGATGACAAATAATGTTACACAATAAGGTAAGTAGGGTGGTGATTCTTTCTGGTAAGTGCTTACCGGTTAAGAATTTGATAAAATGCCTCTAAATCTTGATTACAATCTCATGTCAGCTTTCCTCCGTGTAGATCTCGAAACCTCGAATGCTCTCCAAAAAATTTAAGAAATATTAACATATGTACAATGATGACTTTGATAATGCTTTTTGAAATAGTCATAAACACTTACCTAAATGGATAGTTATAGTTGGAGTAATGAACATGTCCAAACATCTTCATCACATCCGCTCATAGTCATATATGGGTGGACATGGTGAAGATGCTTGAGGTCGTTGATTTCTCCAAGGAACTATTTTGGTGTATTCTATGATTTTTTTTTAGAAATACTATCAGAATTATCAAGAAAACCATGTCAATATTTCTTACAATTATTTAGAGTTTGATCAATGTTGCACGATGGACAAGTCTATAAATGATTGTAACAATTTTTAGCCATTAGCCACACTTTGTTCATAATTGCTCGAATGTTTATCAATGAATATCCAATGCACAAATATTAGTGAATGTATCAAAATAACAATTGCATTTTGTCGAGAACCATTTGTTACTGTTGGGTCACCTTCGGGACTAACAGTTACAGCAAATCAATGTAATAGGTTCTCTAAGTTCATGATGAATGTGAATGTATCAATTATCATTGACATGCCCTATAATTATAATCAACCAATTTAATATGTTTTCTAAGTTCGTGATTAAAGTGGATGTGACTCATAATTACTCAATTGTTTCTCTATATTGGATCGCTAGTTTCTTGATTGATAGTCCGACAGGCATGCATTAAATATGCTCAACTATCCAAAATTGTCCTCATCTAAACCCAGAGTCTACACAAAACCCCCTAAAATACCATTCTCTCTCTCTCTCTCTCTCTGTATGTGTGTGTGTGTGTGTGTGAAGCAAAGAAAGTCATGAGTGAGGTTGTTGAGGCTGCTTTAAAACTTGTAGTTAGAGATAAACCAACCGAAAATTATATAGATGGAAAATATTTTGTTGTATCAGCCGACTGAGAGGACTAAAAGAAGTGAACATTGAAAGGGCCGAAGGCCTCAACAATTGGTATTCCAGTGTCACAAAGATGTTGTAGGAAGCAGTCCAATTGTTTAGAGATGACAACAGGGTTGGAGTACTAGGAATCAGATTCCCCATTCCTATCCCTGATGAGGAATAGGGATACCTAACGGGGATCATAGATTTTTCATCACCTACATAATTGCATATATATATATATATATATATATATTAAAACCAAATGAAAATTGTAAATAATTACAAACCCAAAAACACCAGCCTGTACCATTTATTGAGTTTGATTTTAAGCTATGATTCATATTGTTTCACATGTTCTCTTCTTGTGTACTATAATTTGTCTAGTTTGGCTTCCACAATCGGAGAGGTATCCCCATGGCTGGTTAACTCGAGGATATTCCTCAAACCCTGGTTTTAAGTATCAAGTATGAACTGTATTAATAGGTTATTTTGGTAAAAATGTATATGCAACATACACTGTATAAATATTTATGATTGAACAGAAAATTATCAACAAAAGAACGTATATCCCACTATAGCAAAATTTATGAATATTTATTAATTAAAGATAATACAATATTATGCTAAGACTGAACATCAATCAACTTGATATAGTTTGATAGAGACTCGGTTTTTGATGAAAGTTATGCTTCAAGTGATTCGATGGTTACTCGATGCTTCATCTCGATATTTTGAAACTGAACTCAAAATGTTGAATCTCTAATTATACCAATAAAGCTCAAAATACCGAGAATGAACATTAATGAACATATCAAATTTATGGATTATAATTATCGAACTACTATCAAGTGTATATAAAGTTGTATTGAGTAACATGGTGCAATAAAAGTTCAAATTCATGCATTATAACTCTAGAACAACTATTTAGTAGGGGCGTTCATGTTGCAATAAGATTTAAAGCCACTACAACAAGATTAGGTTTATTGGACGCCTAAAATGTTTAAACGTCATAATAGATTATTTTATAGGAAATAAGTTTATAGGACCAAATAGAAAACCATCATATCTAAAAGTGTTACAATAGATTTATAAGATGTTTTTGGACGTTTTAACAAGTTTTTTAGGATGTTTCTAAATCAAGTATCATATTAGTTATTTTATAAGACACTATTGAAAAAGTATCCTATAAAAAACCGGATCTGTTGGACACTTCTCAAAAGTGTCCAATAAAATAACTATTATGACATTTTATTTTAAAAATCTCCCAAAAAAAAAAAAAAACTTGTTAATCCTAAAAGCGTTTTATTAACATATTGTAACACTTTTAGATATGACATTTTATAAATGAATAATGTAGAAGCAATAATTATTTAGTTAATAAAAGTATACTATGTAAAATTACAATTAGATTTAAATATAAATTAATTAATAAAACTAATATGCAGTATGGTTTCAATGACAATTTCGTAATTTAGATCCACATAGTGCGGTTTGAAAAAAAAACACAAACCATAAATCATACCACTAAAGTTTTAACTGTATGGTTTGGTGCAGTGCAGATGTATTATGGGGTTTGTTACTGTAAAATGAACACCCATATTGAGCTCCATGAGTAACGAATGCTACAAATGAACAATTTACATTCATACATTACACTTGAACCTCTAATGTGTAGCTTTACATCTAATAGGTATCAATGCCCTCCATAATAGCACTTTGAATTAAATCTACAAAATAATGTCAGAAAACTATACTTGAAACAAAACATAAAGTTGATCGAGTTCTATTGGTCACACCTATTGGATTTGATGATGACAATGCTTTGATCTGATCTTACCATTCGATCCAAATGCTTAGCAGAACAATTCCTTTTTTTCTGATAGACATAAAAAAATAGGTTAGCCTCCGATTTGTATATGTTGAAGTTTCTGTGTCTTTAATTAAAAGGTCAATCCAATGTTTTATCTTGATCTTTATTTTTGGATTCACCTAATACAAGCCTAAAATCAATGGCAAAATAAAAAACTAATCAAAGTGATGATAGAAGGATGACGATGCTGTTCAATAACTCAATCATCCGATTATGAAAACTAAAGTGATTCCTAAGTAGTCGATTTGAAGACATTAAGGGGCTGTTTGGATCATGAGAATTGAAAGGAATTAGAATGTCCAATCCTTTGACCAAATTCCAAATATAGTGTTTGGTTCATGGAATAAGACTATGGAATCCTTTCAATTCCAGTCGATTCCTTCACGCACAGATTTTACAATTAAATGGCAATATGCTAGGATTTCAATTCCTTTCCTAAGATTTCTTCCCTAATCCAATTCCATTAAGAATTCCATTCCAATTCCATGCAACCAAACGCAATCACAAGGCATGGTCAAATTTCATCAGATTCTATTTCATTCCCTCAAAGTCAAATTCATTTGACGAATTCCAATTCCATTGAATTCCATTCTACGAACCAAACGCCCCTAAGTCTTTGATTTACCAACTTTCACCAACCTCTTGTACTCTAAGAAATATATTATCTAAACATGCTTTGAAAGCGGGTTTGTTTCCATATACTTTCATTGTTCATATCCTAAGTAAAGTACATTGGTACAATACTGAATACACATCTAAATGTACACTAAATAGAACATTTCAATGGTGTGCAGGTTAATGTTGATCAACTTATTCTAAGGTGACAAGTATTCTAAAGATGACAACATACATTTAATGCATGAGATGGTATAAAATCCAGAATGCATTCACCATGCAAACTGTGATTTTCGATCAGAATTACTACATGTTAAACTACTAGATGGAGTTTGATGTAAGAAAAAGAGAGACAAATAGAGTAGAGTAAAGATTGACTATATTTCTTATATAGGCCTTCTAAAGCATATAACTCAAATTTCCCAAATATAACAATGGTTACCGATTTTTCATCTTTTTTTATTTTTATAATTAATTTCATTGTCTTCCAATCATAAATAAGAAGTAAAATCCTATGGAACAATATTTATTAGGGGTGCATATGGGTTTGGTTGATGATGATCGGATTAAAGACATCTGAATATCCCAATTCAATACTTGCGGTTTGAAAAATCTTAATCTAATCTAACCCAAGGTAAAGTGTAACCCAACCCAAACCGTACGGATTGGTCAGATTGGCCAGGTTTGATACTTTGATACATTAAAATATTCTTCTAACCAAAAATATGTTATTTCTCCATTCTTAATTTTTTTCATCATCAACCATTTGATACAACTTATCCATATTTTCTAAATTTTACGTATATCGCATTCAATTAATTTTCTCAATTTACATATATATGTTTACAGTTACTGGACATATATACGCATGAGTTATATAGAGATTTGGAAACGTGTGTATATGAAGATGGTACATGATTATGTAATTGTCTGATGTACATATTAATAGAAACTCAATAATCATATTAAATCTAAGAAAAATACAAGGATATCGGGTTGTATTGGTTTCAAATAATAGTAAACCAATATCTATGATTTGAAAATTTTATAACTCGATTAAACATCGAATTACTTGAGACTGAATTATTTTGCGTTGGGTTATAAATCAAAAATATTAAGTGATTTTGAGTGAATATTGGGAGAAAGAAAAAAGAAATGATGAAAGATTAAAAAGAGGAGGGAGCAAGTTTTAGGGAGGGTTGAGAATTATGAGGCTGGGGTTTGCTTTAAAGCCACCGACAGTGACAATGTTGGGGATAATACAAAAAGGGTTTTACCTCTTCATCACTCATCTTCTTTGTATTACTGTGTGAGAGATAGAAGGAAATGGACCCTTGAGGCATGGGGAAGCAGGCATGTGGATGAGTGGGGGACACACCCTAAACTTACTCAATGCAAAAATAAAAACCCTCTTCCTTCGAAATTATTGAGTGACTGAAAGTAAAAGACAGTGACAGATCAAAAAAGAAAGAAAACCCCTCTTCTTTCTTCTTTATCTCTCCACTGTTCTTGAATTTCAGTACCCACATTGCTTACTTTTCTGAGTCTCCAAAATCAAAGATTACCCATCACAAAATTCCCAATCGAGATTCATGGGTTCTTTTTCTCCTTAAATTTTCCCTTTCGTCTCTGAAGGCAGATTCTAAAAGCAAAAACATAATTTGTTCATGAGGTTTTCCCCATAGCTTCAACCTTGTAATCTGTGTCTGATTTTGAGAGTTTCTTGTGCATTTGAAGATGCCTAGACCTGGACCAAGACCTTATGAATGCGTTAGAAGAGCTTGGCACAGTGATAGACATCAACCCATGAGGGGTTCTCTCATTCAAGAAATCTTTAGGTTTTCTCTCTCTCTCATGGATCCTTTTGTTTTCTTTTCTTTCTGTTTTTATTCATACTTTGTGTTTGTATAGGGTTGTGAATGAGATCCATAGCTTAGCAACCAGGAAGAACAAAGAATGGCAAGATAAGCTCCCAATTGTCGTTCTAAAAGTTGAAGAAATCATGTACTCTAAAGCTAATTCTGAGGTATTTCTGATGACACATTTCAAACCAAAAGATTATCTTTTAAAGGTTTGATTGTCAGATTTTCTTGGAACATTTGGATTCTTTATGTGGAAAATGTGAAAAAAAGGGGATTTAGGGCACTTTACTTTGAAATAGACAGAATCTAATTTCACTTCTTCTCTTTTTATTTTCTACTTTTGTTAATTCTAATGTTCATATATTGCCTAATATTTTCTTGTATAGGCAGAGTATATGGATCTTGAAACCCTTTGGGATAGAGCTAATGATGCCATTAACACAATAATCAGGTTGGATGAGAGTACTGAAACTGGGGTTTTCTTGCAGCCTTGTATTGAAGGTACCATCTCTCAGTTCATCACTTTTCCTCTTCTTTTTATCATTTTTCTCATTTTAAATTCATAAAAACACACACTTCAGCTCATAGATTCAAGTGGGTATTTCTCCATTGTGTTCCAAGAAACATAATCTTGGAGGAACTTGTGACCTGTGTGCCATTTATACTACTATTTTGCAAAATGCAAGTGGATTCTATATAAGCCTTATTTGTCAACTCAACATCTGAGGAGCCTTATTTGTCATTTGGATTCTATATAAGCTTGGTTTATTGATATCTTGATGGCTCACACATGAATAGGAGCGAAATATTTTTATTTTTTGGTGTATATTGTTATCTTCTTATTGATTTCATTCTTTAATATCTTCACAGCTGCTCTTAATCTGGGTTGCACACCAATGAGGACATCAAGGAGCCAGCGGAATAATACTTCGACTTACTACCTTAGCATCAAGAATCCAGAGCCTAATTTCTGTCCTGCAAACAATTTACACAAGACAACCCAAGAAACTCCAATTACAGCTACTCCTTTCGTATCTCACTATTCCCAAATCATGAAGCCCCCTAGCATCAATTTGTCTCCTTTTATTCTAAAATCCCAAATCCCTATTCTCCCAAACGATAAATCTCTCAGAAACAAATTCTCTTTTCAATCTCCACCGAGTGATAAGCCCTATCTCTGCCAAAGTACTAAACCTCCATCAGTGTATCCTCTGTATTACGGAAATGGTATTGAACTTAAGGATCCAAAGATCGGTTATGGTGCACCTTCGGAGCCATATTGTGAGCTCAAAGAAAATGGTGAAGTGGGGTTCATTCAAAAATCTTCTTTTTGTAATCCCCTAAGTATAAACGATGCTACTCAAGCTGATCTGAGATTCACAGGTGAAGAACACTTGCATGGTCATGAATGCGACTTGTCATTGAGATTAGGTCCTTCGACGATGAAAACTAGTCAGCAGGCTGAAACCCATGATGCGGGCAATTTCAATAACTCACTATCAAGAAAATGGAGTTATGAAAGTGAAAATTTGGATGTGGAGGCTAGAATGAGGAAAAGGAAAGCCGTGGTTAGTAACCTCTATGAGAACTTACAGTTTTGCTGGCGGCCAAAGGTTTCTTCTGCTAACTCTAATGGTGGATCCTTGACAAATGCAGGTTTGTAGCTTAAACTTTTGCTTGTTTAGGTTTGTTTTTAAGAGTTTGCAAGTAGTATTGGCTTTAGTTGTACATTTGAACCCTACTTGTAATCTGACAAGCACTCTTCCATCTACTAGTTTCTTGCTCATGAGTTCTTTGAGAAGCATCTCTTGAATCAAGATTGAAGAAGTTTTGCCTGAATCTTATTTTCTATCCAATTTAGCCCATTAAAGATTCTTATTTTGTTGATCCTGTTCATCAAGAACATGGTGCCATTGAGTTGACATGGAGCCCATAAAACGAACAACATGATAAGGAAGTTGTCTTCTTTGCCTTTACTTTAGGTGGTTGTTATTCCTCTTCAAAATCTTTGTTTAAATGGTCCTTTTTTTTTCTGAAAAAGGATAAAGAATCTGGCACACATGTCTCTTAAAAAGACTCAAACTCAGTAACTTAAGATTATAGAACTCAAATTGGTACCATTTAGACTAAAGATTGACCCAGGACTTGGTGGACCATAGAGTCATTGGCCTTAACCATGAAGTGGGGAAGCTGTTGTTTTGGATATGTTTAATTGTTGCTTGAGTGGGGTACATGAACTGTCCGCTATACTCATATTTTCAGAGAGATATGTATGCATTTCTTGACTTTATTTGGGGAAAAGTAAAGGAATGATTAAAGGGGGTGGATACGGGTGTGGGTGTCCTGAGTGGAGGCCAATGCTTGACCAATCTCCTTTTGATCCTGAAAAGATAAGTGTGGTAGGTCTACACTTCCTCTCTACCACCCAAAAAAAAATTGATGGTGAGTTGTACCTTCTGAGCTGAAAATTGTACAAATTTTGAGTTTAACCCATCTTGAAAATGGGCTACTCTTTTTGGCATAATGGATGATACCCTTTAATATAGGTTCATTTTGGAGAATCTTCTCTTTGTGGTTCGAGTTGATTAGGTGAAGGCATGTATGTGTTGATGAGGTTCAAGACTTGCTTTTTCAATAGTGTAAGTGGCCCAACTCTGGGGGTTGGATCATTCTTTAACTAGTTTTTGAATGAAGGACTTCAATGCGTCTTTATTCTTTTCGAAAGGAGGGTATGTCCTTGAGCATGCATCTTGATGTTCTGGTATATTCATCACTCTATTTGTATCACATTTGAGTGTATTCATTAATGAATATACACAATATGATGAGCGTATGTCCCACTAAGAAGGTTGATCCACCAAAACCTATTGCTTTCACCCCTTTTTGTACAACCCTTTAGCTTTTGCTTTTTGGTGGGCACATGTTGCTTTCACCTGGAACACTGTGTCTGCTTCACCTTATCATGGCAGCAACCCGTGAATTCATATGTTGTTTGTGGTAGTGGTAGGGATATCTACACCTTCCTATAAATATATCTAAAGATTGTTGTCGAATAATCATGTGATTTTAGGAGTGTCGGATGTTTGTAGTATCGTGTGGTTCGAGCCAGTAGATAACAACTAATGACCGTGGTTAGGGGCGGTGCATCCATGTGGCTGGTCTGCATTGCGCTAAAGTAGGGAAAAAGGCGAGCGGTTAATCCAATCACGGCACTTGTTGGTTCATATGGTTCATTCAAACTTATATATCAGTTTTAATGCAGTCATAAGGTATGACGTTCAGGGTCTTAACGCGGGAGGAATCTTTCTTCATAGATACCACCATAAAGGATAAGCGAATATGCATAGACCTATTTGGTATACTCGATTGAGAAAAAATATGGATTCGTCGACGCTTAGGTAATTGTGACAAATGGACGTTATGCAATGAAGCATTGTACATTCGAGTATTTGCATGATAATCGTAAAACTACACTATGATTCTTTCCGGTAGATATGCATATTTAATCGGTTTGAAGATGCATAAAGAAGTGGAAGTAGAAATTTTTATGATTTCTTAGACATGCAAATGGTATAATGTAGTTTACATTTTTGTAACGAAATTGACAAACGAAACGATTAATAACACGATTTTATGAAACCATAAACTCTAAATAATCTAAAATGATTCGAAATTCAAAAGAATGAATCGTAGATTTAACTCTGACCACCCTGTAGTCAAATACCATAAACTTAGGGGCCGTTTACCAAACACTTAACCAGTAAGCGCTTATCGGTAATATTCAACATTATCATTTACTTACCTGATAAGATTTTAGTTCACGAAAACGACATTGTATGCAACAATTTACCTGGTAAGCGCTTACCATGTTAAGAGTCAATCGTCCTCACTTACCGGATAACACTCTTTTCCTTGCCTTGCTCTTACCATGTTAAGAGTCAATCGTCCTCACTTACCGGATAACACTCTTTTCCTTGCCTTGCTCTTACCAGGTATAGATTCTTGGTCTTTATCGCATTCATCCGGTAAGGTAATGTGAGTCGGTAAGCTCTTACCCAAATAAGAGTTTAGTAAACAGCCCCTTAGACAAATATGGGAAAATCCTGATATCTCATTAAAAGGTAAAACCTAGGGAAGGTATGATGTATATAGATCACATTTCTACTTCAAGTAATAGAGCACTTGTTTATGTGAAAAAGATAAAAATAGTTTAAAGAGTTTAAGGAAGTATGAAAAAAGAAGAAAGACTTTGAAAAGAAAGAACATAGGGGCTGCTTGGAAGTTGCAGAATAATTAAGTAATCAGAATGATTAAGAGACTATCATGATATAGCGAAAATGAAATATAATTGTTTACATTGAAATTATGGCGCTTAATGGTTAAGGGAGACCTATGATACAAAACCATTCAAAGAGTTTTAGAACCATTAAGAGACAGATTTTTTTTTTGCCAAACAAGATTCATCTCTTAATGATGCAGAGGTTTTCTCTTAATGGAACTATTAAGAGATAAACAAACAACCTCTTATACCAGAAAGGTAGATATGATACAAAGACCATGATGATATCTATAATCCTAACACTATATTCCAACCCTAATGGACGTAACAAACTTTCAATCAGTTCTACTTGGTAAATTACACTTATTGATTCTAACTGTATCTTAAGTTGTAATCTCCAACATTTGCACTACGCCTGTCGTTAGGTCCAAATGTTTCATAGAGATAGGAACCAATTTAATGCTCTAAGATACGGGAGTTTTATAACTAGATTACACTTGATTCATGTTATTTCTATTTTCACGCTCAAGTAATGAGGCGTATGTCACGTTTTTAGTCACTCAAAAACTGAAAGTTTGTCGAGATTCTATAATCTTGCAACTTCAAACACTACTTGATCTGAAATAATGCTACACATGTATATTCTTATCTTTTTAAGGTAATAACATCTAAAAGGTATTGGGATAACCAAGAAACCATTTTTAAAGGCATTGAGATATTCTTGTCGGCATAAAATACAAGCTTATGTGCATATAGGATAACAATCGAGTAAATGACACGTGTCGTGCTCGAGTATCGATATACTTGTGTGACGCCGGTTTCCGATACATCAACTGTCGTCCCCAACTATCTTCCATATCCTTACCATTACTTGTATGCGAACTAAAATTTCTCACCTTACATTTCAACTTAGTTCGATATAATGACATTTTAAATTTTACATTTGTGAAAACATTCTAATGTCAATTCAATAGCCTAACATGTATAATGACTATTATAAGAGCTATGACTTTTCATGTCGGTCCCTGCATGTTTCTCTTTGATCTTATCTAAGATACGTCTATGGAATACATAAGCTTTAAGCTTAGTAAGCAATTATGATTTCATGAAGAAATTATGTTTCATAAACCATATCATTTTTAGTGCATGAATAACAACTTAATACACTTCCCATAATCATGTATAAATAAGTTGATGCATAAAAAAGGGGTTGTTTGTTTCTAAATCATTAAGTGGTGAATCTTGTTTGGTAAAAAAAATATGTCTCTTAATGGTTCTAAAATGCTCTGAATGATTTTGTATCTTGGCATCCCATGAACCATTCAGTGCCCTAATTTCATTGTAAACAATTACCAAGTAATTATAATTCATTTTGCGTTATATCATGAGAGTATATTAATCATTTTGTACAAAGCCATTCAGCAACTGCCAAACAACTCATATACAAAAATGTCATTTGGACTTGATTAGTGCGATATCTTATGTGTAAGTATGCCAAACATTATTAGATCCATGTTGTTCAGTCAAAGAATCTTCCCCTTGATGTCTTTTTTGCAAGATGTCATTCATTCTTATACCCTTTTGGGTATTCAACGTGATCATACTTTCACATGCATAAAACTTCTTATTAAATAAAAGATAATAAAAATGAAAAAAAATATATCGATTGTTATGTAATAAAAAATGAAAAAGAAAAGTTTAGAAATTAATGTGTCGAGTTTAGATTAAAAATAAATAAAAAATGAGAGTAAAAAATATAAATATGATTGAGCCTTCTCATTAATATTTTTCCATGTATATTTAAATGTATTTAATTATGATAAAAATTTCAATTATATATAATGATTCGTAATAACTAAAAGAGAATATAAAAAGTTAGATCAAATTAATGAGGTATAATGATTTGTAATAATTACAAAAATACATGAAATATTTAATCAATTAATAAGATATATAGATTTAAAAAACTAAAAATTGGATAAATATTAAAAACAATCATCCAAGCATTCTCAAAACGGCGAAACATACCTTCTTTTAGTCTTTTTTATAATATTATACTAATGTACTGGTTATTGATTGGCGTGTAAATAAAAATGAATTCTAAATAAAGCTAATTTTTTTAGATACATAAACTCTGGTTAGTTAAACCAAAAGCTCTGGTTGGTAAAAACAAAGGAGCTTTGATCTGTGAAACTAGAGGAGCTCTGGTTCAACTCGTTGAACCAGAAGAGCTCTAGCACGTTGAGTTAGAGTCCTATTTTGAGCTCAGGGTTTTAGAGAGGTGCATTTTGATTATGTGTTGAAGCAACCATTGGCCACATATTTTGATCATCTAGTTGGATTACATTAATTTGTCGAAATGCAATTATTTTTGTGTAAAATATATTTTAACAGATTTAGGTGTTCATCACCCTGCATTTGCAAAAAATGATTTTCATCACTAGATCTTCTGGTTTAATCCTCATTTTGTGTTTAAAAAATGTGCATTACAAGAACTGCGGAGTCAAGGGATAATAAAGGGAAAGGGAAAGTGTAAATTATTTCCCTATATATTATC